CCGCATCAGGCTCTGTGCTGACAGCTGGGAACCGGGAGCGTCTTCGGATTCTGTGTCTCCCTCTCTCTCTGCCCCTCCCCTGCTCACTCTCTGTCTCTGTCTCTGTCTCTCTCTCTCTCTCTCTTTGTCTCTCTCAAAAATAAACATTAAAAAAAAAGTAATAAAAGGCTACTTGCTCTGAGGTGTATCCAGGTGGCTTTTTGATTTGTTACTTATTTAGGTCTTTCTTGTGAAGGATCTTAGTTTTAATAGGTGCTATGTGTGTGGGTAGTTCAGCTGGTAGTTCTTTCATTTGGGGTTCAAGCAGAACCTCTTGGTGGCATGGTCTTTATGTGTCCAGGCTGGTCTGGGTGGAAACACTTATGTTTCCCCTTTGTTGCAGGGACCAGGCAAAGGTGCAACTCGTGACAGCTCTTGTGGTCACCCCGGCGGCTCCCTGCCCGGCTGCATCCTTTCTGTTCTTGATGCAGCTGTTCCCAGCCCTGCCACGGCTCCCACAGACTGCTCGTGTTTGTGGCAGCCTTGTTACTGCGGTTTCTTCCCCCCCTTGTTTCCAGCAGCAACAGCTTGTGGTCCAGAATGAGGAAAGGAATCAAATCCCACTTGACATTGAATCGTTATCTTTAGTTGCCCAAAGAGCATTTAGTGTGATGCTTCAGTCGAAACAGAATTTGGCCTCTTCAAAGTAGTCTGTCTCCGTGTGAAAGAATCCACGGGGTGGGTTAGATGTGAGCTGGTGACGAAGGAAGGGCTGTGAAGTCTAGTGGCCGTTCGTCTGGCACATACTTCTCTGAGGTCTCACCAAGTGCTGAGCATCGGTGTGTCCGTGAACAAAATAGGCAAGAGTCCCTGCCCTTGGGGAGCTTCCAGTCTAGAGACAGGGACTTTTCGGAACCTTTCCACACCTCCCAGTTTGCTCACGTTAAAAGCCCGAGTGTTTACAGTGCCCTGAAAGCCCCTGAAGGATTTGCTGGCCACTACCCCCGCCCTCCGCCTTACCTTTCTGATCTCATTGCAGGCCATTCTCCCCTTACCTTACCGGTCTCCATGCTGTTCCTCGAACATGCCAGGCACATCCCTTTCTAGTTTCTAGGGCCTTTCGCTTGCTGCTTCCTCTGCCTGGAGTGTTCTTCTAGACAAATCCTTTCAGCTACCTTCTTCATGTCCATCATGTCTAAATATTACCTTTCCAGTGAGGCCCGCCCTGACCAACCTATTTAAGTTTTTTTTTTTTTTTTTTTTAACGTTTATTTTACTTTTGAGAGAGAGACAGAGAGACAGAGCATGAATGGGGGAGGGTCAGAGAGAGAGAGAGGGAGACACAGAATCTGAAACAGGCTCCAGGCTCCGAGCCGTCAGCACAGAGCCCGACGCGGGGCTCGAACTCACAAATCGTGAGATCATGACCTGAGCTGAAGTCGGATGCTTAACCGACTGAGCCACCCAGGCGCCCCCTGACCAACCTATTTAAATATAACCTACCACCTTTCCAACAATCCTGACCCCCTTTTCCTTGCTCTATTTTCCATAGTATTTGCCATTTTTTAACATATAATTTATGTTATTTACATAACTTATTTACAGGATCTAAGTTTAAAGAAGGCAGGGATCTTCATTTTGTTTACTGAAGGCATGCCATGTGCTTACCTGGGTCAGTTAATTGGCACATAGTAGATATCCAGTAAACATGGTGAATGAATGAAAATGAAAAGTATTGTGGAAAAAATTATGAAAGACGTATTAGTTTCCAAGTTAACCAAACCTTGGTGGCTTTAAAGCAACAGAAATTTATGCAGTTCTGGAAGCAAGAAGTCCACAGTCAAGATGTTGGCAGGACTGTACTCATTTTGAAGGTGCTAGGGGAGAATCCATTCCTTGCCTCTTCCAGCTTCTGGTGGCTCTAAGCATTCTTTAACTTGTGGCCCCTGTTACTCCGTCTCTGCCCCCGGAGTCACATGGACTTCTCTCTGAAAACTCCCTCCGCCTCTCTCTCTTACAATGACACATATAATCACACTTAGGGCCCATCTGCATAATCCAGGAGAAGCACCTCCTGTCAAGATTCTTATCACATCTTTCGTCATACAGGGTAATATTCACTCTTGCCATATGAGATAATATTTACAGATTTCAGGGATTAGGATGGGGAAATCTGTGTTTCATTCTGCCCCAAATCCTTCTTGGGGCCACCATTCAGCCCTTTGGGGTTCAGGGGATCCTTTGGTTACAGGAGGAATTGCTGACCCCGGGATACCACCTAGTGGAACACTGAATGCCAGGAAAACCAGAAGACTGCTCTTACCCGTTTTCTTCTTACTGAAATGTTAATTGAAGTTACATTTTGTTTTCACATTTCACATTAAACACACATACACATGCACAGAGAAGAGCACACAGGATGTTATATATATAGTTACACTTATTTATTTTTGAGAGAGTGAGACAGCACAAGCGGGGGAGGGCCAGAGATAGGAGACACAGAATCCGAAGCAGGCTCCGGGCTCTGAGCAAGCATTCAGCACAGAGCCCGACGTGGGGCTCGAACCCATGAACTGTGAGATCATGACCTGAGCCGAAGTTGGTCACTTAACCAAGTGAGCCACCCGCGCGCCCCGAGCACACAGGATAATATTACAATTTCCGTGTACTTGTCTTCCCCAGTTGTTAACATATTTCCATATTTCCTTCACATCGTCCGTTGTCCCTCTTATAAGGAAATAATCATTTCAGATAAGCGCCAAATCTCCTATCTTCCCATTGTTATCTCCTTTTTCCTCCCTACCCACATAGAAGCAATCACTATCGGTAATTTGGCACGTGATCAGCGCGTGGTTTATGTGGTTAAAAGTTACCTCTCTATAACTATTTGTACATAATATATGGAGTGGTGTGTGTGTGTGTGTGTGTGTGTGTTCTCTCTCTTCCAGCTGCAGAATATGTAAATCCCAGAGAGGGCCTCTGGTTAGCCTACCTCGGCTCACATGCCAGTCAGTACAGTACCTGTTGGATCAGTCCGTGGGCTCGGTCGATGGGGTACCCTGATTGCTCATGCCTACTCCCCCTGCGTTCTGGGGGTCGGCATGCTTTGTTTGCAGCTCCTGTCAGGGTCTCCCGTGTTGGAAGGATTGCCATGGGAGCAGGTGGGGAAAGGATTTGGGGCAGACAAAAACACAGATCTCCACTCGAGTTTCAAGTTTGAGCTTGGACATTAGGTCCTCTCGGAAGCCTTTCCTGACTTCTTAGATCATGCCCTGTCCCTTGCACTTAACAGCTCTTGTAGCTGTTGTCATGTGGTGCCTTCGTTTCCCCCTCCTTCTCTGGAGGTGTGCTCGTGCAGGGCAGAGACTGTGTCTGCCTTGCTGTTGTACCGCAGGAGATGTGAGGTGTGGCGGGCCCTTACGTGCTCACCGTGTGTGTACCTTACTTCCTTCGAGCAGGTTGTGTGGTGCGTTTGCCCCTGCCTTTTAGGACCATTACATGCCCCGTGGCTCTTTTTACATCTTTTGGTATATATGGGTGATTTGGCCCTGACTGGGATTTTCTTTTTTTTGCATGTGTGGAAAACAGTTTCTTCTCTTTCTTATTTAATAGTGAAAACTCAAGGAAAGATGTAATTGCTAAGATGCAAACTCATACCTCCTCTGTCAAGTCTTTGAGTTGGGCCCTGCCAGGCCTTTCCCATCCCTGTCTCCCCTCAGCTCTCCTGTGTGCTCCGTAATTTCTTTCTAACCTCAAATGTGCCATCAGCAGAATAGGTTTTATGCAGGCTTACTTCTGAATACCTTCTGAGCATCGGGAGAACTTGGATTTCAGTAGATAGAAGCTGCGAATCATTCTCTTTGGAACGGGTAGTAGGGATAATATTAGTGACGGTCCTGGCAGTCACCGTTGGCTGAATGCTGTTTCTGCGCCGGCATGTAGATGAAGGTGTCGTCCTGATGTCTGTTACACAGGTGAGAAAACTGGAGCTTGGAGGGCTCAGTGATCTGTTCAAGTCCTCTCAGCTCCTAAGTGGGGGAGCTGGGAGTCCCAGTCCTGAGGACCACGCTCTGCGTCCTTCTGTAATTGGGAAACAGAAGGCTGGAGTTTGGTAACAGAAAAGGACATCAGACTGATCACAGATGAGGAGTGCAGTTTCTGCCATAAAGCAGTGGTGAACATAAAGAGCATGAGGGAGAATGAACCCAGAGCTTAGAATAATACTCCCATGACCTCTGCGAGGAGAGAAGCAGCCAAGGTGTGTGTAAGTGGGGCTGAAGCCACATGCCCAGTCATAAAGTGGCACCACGTGACCTGGAATTTTGGAGAAAGCGTTTGAGAAATACAGGGCATCCAGCACCTTTTCCGTCTCCTGCATGCTAGTTGGTCTGCAGACCTGGGACTCTGGCCACAGTAAGAGTCATTTAACCGGGAAGACTTACATGGAGCAAAGCACAGTGAATGTACGAAGCTCTGTGGGAGACACAGCCAGAGAAGTTGAGAGCAAGTACGCAGTGGAGTCTGATCATATGCTACCGTTGTTATTAAAGACGTGTACGAGGCCATCGACGCTTTATTTGTGCTGTTTTAATTCAGTGTATACAAGGGCTTTGATAGGTTCCATCTGGATCTTAGTGTCTATCTCCTAACCTTGTATTTCCTCTAAAGTCTTGTATTATTTAGCTCTGAATTCTCTTACCATGAATGTTTTCAGGAACTTAACCCCTACAGTGGGAGGAGATGACTGATACCCCTGAACCCGATAGGATAATCTGTGCTCTTTGCAACCTGTCTCCTATACTTGGTTACTGCGAGTACCTTCCAGGCAGGGATGCTGTTTTCTGCCTTTACAGCACTTGGCTCAATTCTGTATTAAGTAAATACTGGTTTATAGTTGGGCTACACGTGCCCCGTGCGCAGTAGGTCTGTGTTCCCAGGGGGGTATCGTGTTTCTGTCCAGAGAGGGCATCTGTGGGATAAATGGATGGTATTAAAATCGGGCTGGGTTTTATCCCCTCCAGGTGGCTTCACAGCGCATTAGCTCAGTGGACCTCTCGTGCTGTAGCCTGGAGCACCTGCCTGCCAACCTCTTCTACAGCCAGGACCTCACGCACCTCAACTTAAAACAAAACTTCCTAAGGCAAAATCCCTGCCTACCAACTGCCAGGGGGCTCAATGAACTGCAAAGGTAAGCATACCGAAATGGGTAGATGATTAGAAAGGGGAGAGGATGTCAGCCTCTGGTTGTTTCTGGAATATTCTGACCTAAAAGCCCACAGTGTATAACTTTTCTCTTTCAGAGGGCGGGGTAATAGGACTTTATTAAAACAAGGACATTATCAGTTTTACTCTGAAAATTTTTTCAAGGTCCCTGCCTTTGAAACAAGTGATTTATGATATTCATTAACTGGATGGATCTGTGTAAGAAGAATATTTCTCTTAAAAACACTTCTGCTTCTTAACCTGTCTGTGGCAAGTTTGTTATTTGGTGTCTTCCAAACTGCAGAGGTTCAGTCAGATTAAATTATTTCTTTTGAAATTTATAAAAGTTGAGGGTTTGTTTTTTTTTTTTTT